GTTTTCTTCTGTCCTTTTCTCAATAAGCTATAAGTCTGGTAGCCGATGATAAAATTCTTAGAAATTATAACTATAAATTTAATAATATACAGAAAGCGGCAAAATTTTTTTCTCATAAAGTTCAGACTCTTATGAGCGTTATAATAATGTAATACCTCTCCCTCTCTCATCATTAGGTTAGTTTACGTAAGGTATCGTCATTCCCCTTCCCATTACATAGTTTAGTTTACGTTGGATTTAATCCCCCTGTACACTTCCTCCACTCAAAACGGTAGATGGGTGAGTGGGTGATGCGGAGGGGTTTCAAAGTTCTCAATTTTACCCTACTAGCGTCAAATCAATTACCTGCTCAATTGGTTGTATCTTAATATACATTACACTTTAATGATACTATAAATAAATATATTCACACTTACACACATATGCATTTATAACATTGTGTCTAAAGTAATTATAACATGATAAAAAATAACCGTAAAATGAAAAAATTTGGAAAATAAATTTTAGTACTCATATTAAATGTAATGTAAACCGAAAAATCTTTGTTTAAAATTGTATTTTTTACAACTTTTGTACGAAACTTTTTTTTGTAAGTTAAATGTTTTTTGAGGAAATTAAAAAAGCTCATATTTTTGAACTTTTGTGACTCTGTAAAAAAAAAACTCTAGTCCAATTGATGAGGACTTTTAGTATGTCATTATACATATCTTAATTCTAAATTAATCTAAATTCAACTTTAAAAAAAAAAAGAATTTGGTTGGGAATTTTTTCCGCCTTATTTCCTTTGTTGACTGACCTAGTATATCTAACACCTTTTATTTTCACTATTAAAATATTCTAAAAATTATATTAAAAACAAAATTCTCCTAAATTTTGTGTTATATTAATCTGAAAATTTAAATATATCAAACTATTAAATTTTTTCACGTGTGAATGATTATTAATAATTATACATAAGTATCGAGAAATATATCATTTATATATACATATTGTTACATACATATTAATGTGAGGTGACGCTATACATATTTAATTAAACATGAAAACACGGTAAGTGGGGGTGAGCTGGTCAGTCGGTCACGTCATACACGTTTGTGTTTGTCACGACAGGTATGCCGCTGACATCACTCAATTTTATTTTCATTTTCGATAGACTTCTAGTGGACTGGAGATTCTGCGTTCAATATACGCTGCGACCTTCAATGTGTTTTTTCCCACTAAAACCACCACCTTCGTAATGGTACGGCGGCGTTGCTGTTTAGACCGGTCCCTGCAACGTATGGCATTGAAAACTAATTTCTTTCGCGCTCTGTTATTCAGTCGTTTTGGTCATATCAACGCCAAGTGTTTGAGTCGTGTATTACCTTGTTACCATAGTAGTTGAACTGAGCTGCTCATTTTTTTGTTGAATGTGACGGTTTTATTTGCCCTTTCTTTATCCGGATTTTCATAGTATCACCTTCAAACGGCAGTGGATAAATATTAAGAATTTTTTTTATTGTTTGTTTAAAGGATCTACAGTCCACATAAAAAACTAATATATTAGTTAGAAAAAAGGGTATAATTTGTTATTTGTTCATTAGTAATTTGTTCTAATTTAATTTATCATTTTAGCTTCGATGCGAAGCTGAGAAGGTATTGGTTTTACTATGATGTGTTTTTTTTTTTTTTTTTGTGTCTGTTACCACTTTTTCTCAGCTCTCACCGAAAAGATCACAAATCGTATCTAGTCGAAGACATTACCCTTCCAAATTGAAAAAATTTCCCTCGTTCCCCGTAACTGGGGGAAACCTCCAAAAAAATTACAAATTTAAAAATCGCTAATTTTCGAAATTTTTTCAATTTTTTTTACTAAAAACTGCCGTAACTTTTTCAAAAATGAACATATCAATATAATTTTTTTTTATATAGATGCTTGATGTCTTTACCTATCATTTGGTATATTTTTTTTGTAAATTTGACACTTAACCTGCCCACAGGGGGGGATTTAAAATGACAACTTTTTCACAAAAAATTAACTTTTTCAACTTAACTTTTGAAAATGTTCCGGAAGGTCTGACACTTTTATATATATCTTAAATTAAAGCTAATGTAATATACTTTAATTTGAAAAAAAAAAATTTGACCTCTGGACTTGTCTTCGTGGTGAAAGTTGACATCAAAGTTAATAAAAAATTACGATTTTTGTAAAATAATTTTTTTTTATATTTTTAACTAAAAACTGCCGTAACTTTTTCAAAAATGAACATATCAATATAATTCTTTTTTATATAGATGCATGATATTATTACCTATCATTTGGTATATTTTTTTTGTAAATCTGACACTTAACCTGCCCACAGGGGGGGATTTAAAATGACAACTTTTTCACAAAAAATTAACTTTTTCAACTTAACTTTTGAAAATGTTCCGGAAGGTCTAACACTTATATATATATCTTAAATTAAAGTTAATGTAATTTACTTTAATATGAAAAAAAAAA